TGCTAAATGGACGCCACTGAGTCCCTGTCAATTCTCCACTATTTGTTTTTGTCATTTCGTGAGACGGCAACTACTATTTATGAACTGCGGGTGTGTTGCGTCGCGCGCGCGCGTGCGTGCGTGCGTGGTGTTTTGTGTCGTGCGTGTGAGTTGTGTCACTGTGTGTGGCTAGTGCGAGTGCGCTGTCGCTTTGCGTCCCGGCGCGGCCTGGTCTGGTGTGTGTGCGTGCGTCGTGCGCGCGTGCGTGTTTATGTCCTTGTCCTGTGTGCGTTGCTGTGTGCGTGTTGCGTATGCGTGTTTGTGTCGTACACGTGGTGCTGCGTGTTGGTACGTTGCGTGTGAGTGTGTTCACTCGTGTGTACGTTGTACGTGTGTGCGTAGTGGCGCGCGTTGGCATATGCATGTGAGTGGCGGTGTGCGTGTTACGTGGCATGACATTGTGCGTTGTGCGTGTGTGTCACTGCTGTGTGCGTGCTGCCTGGGCGTCGTGACGTGCGAGCGTGCGTCTCGTGCTGCGCGTGCGTGTTTGCTGGCCTGGTGTGTCACTGGTGGCTGTGCCGCGTGTGCGTGTGCGTATGCGTATGCCGTGCATGCGCGCGCCGGTGCGTGCGTGCAGTGCGTGTGTTGTGTGGCAGCACCGGAGGTGGGTGAGTGCTGTCACTGTGTAGTCTTAGCTGCGAGTGCGTGTGCCGTTTGGGTCTTGTGTGGTGTGCGTGCGGTCAGATGCTGCGCGTGCGTGTTTGTGTCCTTGTGTGTGCTCGTGCGAGCTGGTTGGTGCGTGTGCGTATGCGTGTTTGTGTGATCACCGTGTGTTGGTGTGCGTGTGCGTGTGAGTGTGTACTGTGAGTGTACGTGTACGTGCTGCGTTGTGCGTGTGGTGTGCATATGCAGCTACAAGTGAGTGAGTGTGCGTGTTGCCAGGAACGTGCATGACATGTGCGTGTTGCGGTGTGTGTCACCTGGTGCTGCGTGTGCCTGGGCGGCCCTCCGGTGCGTGCGAGCCGCTGCGTCGTGCGCGCGTGCGCATGTTTGTGTGTCCTGTCGTGTGTCGCTGTGTGCGTGGTAGTGTGCGTATGCCGTATGCGTGTGCGTGTGCGTTGTGCGTGTGCGTAGTGCGTCGTGCGGTGCGAAGTGTGCAGTGCGCGTTGCGTACGTGCGCGCCGTCGCGTGTGCGTGATTGCGTGCGTTGCCGTGCGTGTTGCTGTGTACTTCGTGGTGTGTGTGACGTGCGTGTGCGTAGTGAGGGTTTCACCAAATGCAGTTGTGCACGAGTGCGTGTGGGGGTGTGAGCTGTGTCACTTGATGTGCGTGCTGCGTGTGCTGTGTGCGTGTGCGAGTGTGCGTGTGGTGTGCGTGTGCGATCGTGCGTGTGCGCTGCTGCCATGTGAGTGTGATCACTGTGTGTGCGCGGCTTCGTGAGTGTGTCACTGTGTTGTGACGTACGCCGTGTCGCGTGGTTGCGTGTCCGCATGCTGTAATCTTTGCGACTTTGTTTTTACCCTGGGGTATTTTATTCAACTAAGCAAAAGCAAACAAATACAAAATAAGAATAGCCTTAACATATTTATCTTATGTATCATAATATCAGGAGTATATAATAGAAGATTCTTCTAGTATATTATACTCCTGATAATATGTATCTTCAACATAATGTCATAAAGTATAGCTACAGAAGGCGTATCTATTGATACTGTTTTAGCCCATACAATTAATGTAACCCAACCAAGAGGATAATGCATAAATATAAAACAAAAATAATAAAAAAAAATCATATAATAAATAAAAAATAAAAATAAATATAAAATAAAAAAATAAAAAATAATAAAAAATACTAAAAAAAATATATACAAAAAATAAAAAAAATATAACAAAAAAAAAAATAATAAAACAAAATAAAAAAAAAACCCCATCCTCTTGCGGGGGGATTTCAGGGTTACATTGATTGTATCTATATACTTGTAAGCTTCATCTAGAGAAATTATCATTGCAAAGCAAATATATTATAAATACATTTCAAACTCACAGTTCAAGTGACGGATAATTCGTATCGTTATGCAGTAATCCCAGAGCACTGGCGCCAGTGACGCGATCGTGTTGTTTTCACCGGCGTTCTGCTGGTGGACACATTTTCCCATTACGGAAACAGCCGAAGTGTGCGCGACGTAGAGCGTGGCCTTGGACTCGTGCCTGGGAAACGTCACGCCGTCAACCGGCTAGTAGACTGGTACTCGCTCCCACCTCGATTACTCGGATGGGTGCTAAGCCAGGAACACCTAAGCCGTGAGGCCTAAGCGAGAGGTGGACCGCGGTACAGTCTACGGCTAGCCAGCTATTTTGTACCATGCATCGGTGGCAACGAATAGTCGACGACATAAACTACTTTCTCCGCGTCCAAGTAAGCCATGGCAGAAGATATGGTGCCAATAAAACAACCGACGATTAAGTATACACAGGTATGAATACTCATTACAGTAGTACGTGTTAGCTATTAAGTACTTTGCTCAGTAGATAACTCATGTAGTATAGTAGTATTAGCAGGCCCGTAGCACAGCTTTTCTATTAAGCAGTATTGGCGGGGGGGGGGTTGTTTCTTGGCCATGTTGCAATTTAACTCCGGCAGAGGGCCGTTGTAACAGGATTTGCTACCACGGGGGGGGGGGGGCTACTAACCGCTAACCCCAAAAGTTGCAGAACACCGCGAAAGGGGTCTGAAATTTTTTTAAATTAGAACCCCCTCAGATGCGTTTTCTTGCGACAGAGCAAGGGGGTCGGACTCCCTGGCCACCCCCCCCCCACAAAAAAAACAACACACGCCCCTGCTCGGCGCGAAGCGACCAGGCGAGGGAGCCAAGCGACCGAGCGGGCGGTAGGGTGTGGGAGGGGGCTGTGTCACTGTGTCACCCTCACCGCACGATGGAGATTTTGCAATTATTACACTAAAAATGGATCACTGTAGGCTGAAATTCTTGCAAAATTTTCAAATTAAATTATTTTTGCGTTGGGTTTGGGATCCCCGAATATTTACAAATAATAACCCAACAGGGTACAAAGGTAATTAACCTAGCTACTCTGGTGGGTCACATATATTTGTATCTGAAAGCAAAGTATACTAAATGGTTAGAGCTATACACATGTTGCCACCAGGACTGGAGTACATGTATGTGCCCAGCTATGATGTGTTGCCCACATATTTTTGTCCTATTTTTAGTTGGTCCTATATATCCTAGTCTATCCTGGTCATATCAAAGGCACATAACCTATGACAGAACATTTAATAGTTTATGTGGTCTTGATCATGCGTATACATCCTAGAAATTGTTTTTATGATAATTAAAAATATAGAGGTTATCAAAAATATATTGTAGCCACTTTACTGATTTAATGTACAAATGTTTTTCCCCAGATATTTTACAACAATGAATTTCATGATTCCATAAGTGGGAAAACTTTTTCTACCATCAATCCTTCAACGGAGGAAAAGATAACTGATGTACAGGAGGGTGACAAGGTAGGTGTATAGGTGTGCAGTACACTTGCACAGGTGTGCAGTACACTTGCACTTTTGTATTTGAAAATTATCTCTTTATTCGTCATTAGGACTTTGTATACATGTCAAATTATGACTTATAGTGGTATAACCACTTAGCAAATAACTAAAAAAAAGCATGTAGCTATAGGCAAGATATGTAAGTTGTAACAGATGAGTGTAGGGTATATCTGGCATCTTTTATCAGGCTGATGTTGATGCTGCTGTCAGGGATGCTCGGCTTGCCTTTAAGCGCGGATCACCATGGCGCACAATGGACGCATCTCAACGAGGAAACATCATCATGAAATATGCCGATCTTTTGGAAAGGGATATTCAGTACTTGGCTGTGAGTTGGACTTGACTACATGTTGTGTATGTGAGCAGTTACGGCATGATGTACTTCATGTACTTTAAAATTGAAACTGCATGACGTCTGATTTCATGTGATTAGTAGTAGTGCCAAGTGGTATATCCCATCCAGTTAATTTCTACCTCTGTGTAGGTCAAGGTTTCAGGCTGCTAAACATTCTAGTACTGCTGACTTTTAGGCATACATATGTCTGTTAGTGGGTGCGTCTTCTTATCAGATTGTGACACATAGTCATAAAAATACACGTGCTGTACTGTTGATTTTCACCTGGATCAATTGTCCAAGGTGTACTCTATAACGTCACTGAAGCAATTTTGTTATTGACAATCCTTTCACGTGGGTGCCTGGATGAGATAGCGTTTGCTGACAAGGCAGTGCTTGTTTTAGAGCCTTGAGACCCTGGACAGTGGCAAGCCTTTCAAGGACTGTGTTGAAGACGTCAGGGGATCCGCAGGCTTGTTCCGGTACTATGCAGGCTGGTGTGATAAGATTTGTGGCAAGACCATTCCTGTCGGTTAGTGCATTACATATGGCAAAGCACCTTGAATGCGATATCATAGCCTCCTCAAAGAATTAACCATTAGTTTCTTAATTCAATTAAAAAAGCTATCGTTGTTTAGTCATGTAATCGGAATGTACTAGCTAATTAAATGTATAAGTTTCTAATTCTCTAAGTAAGCAATTAATGTTTTCTGTGAGGCTGCAGATTTGTAATTTGATGTACTTCATTTGCTGAACATTGTAAAGGTACAACAATGCTTGTATTTATTGTTGAATGTGTTTCTCTGTAAGTTTCTGCCTATCTTTAAGGTATATTTGTAAAATGACCATTCCAGATGGGGACTTCTTCTCCTATACACGCCATGAGCCCATTGGAGTGTGCGCTCAAATAATTCCTGTAAGTACATCAATCTCATTCAACTCTTTAGCTAATTAAGTGCCTTTAAAATTAGACTAAGAAGCAACAAAGTTCATCCCTATAATTTTATTTTTTTCTATTAATCAGAATGTATAATGTAAATTTTTAGAAGTCTTTATATTTTATCCATGTAAGAATTGAGTAGTATTGCTCTTATTGAGATAATTAACCATAATTAAGAGATAATTCGGCCATTATTTTTACATTTAAACTGTTGAATGAGCACATAAATATCATTGCTTTAACCACTATGCATAATAAATATATGTAAACCTGTATGCAAAGATTTTCCCCTGAATGCTTTCTCAGTGGAACTACCCGATCATGATGCTCGCATGGAAACTCGGCCCGGCACTAGCCTGTGGCAATACAATCATCTTGAAACCTGCCGAACAGACGCCATTGACTGCTCTCTACTGTGCTTCCCTTTGTAAGGAGGTATGTGTACCGCTGTTGGCTCAAGATAATCAAGGGCAACTTCATCAACATAATTTGATATTTACGTTAAGAATACACTTAGGGTTACCGACAGGTACCACTGTAGAGTTTGAACCTAAACGTTTAGCCATACGTGGTTCATATAGTATATGCACTAGTAAAGATTCCTTGGAATTTTTTTTTAATGGTTCATTTATTTATTTTACCATTTGTAGTGGTGTAGTATCTATTGTAGTTAATGTCATTGTTAGCCGTAAATGTGCTGCGATGGTAACAGTAACTTTTGTACAGGCAGGGTTTCCTGCTGGAGTGGTGAATGTCGTTCCCGGTTACGGACCGACAGCAGGTGCTGCACTGGCTGAACACATGGACGTCGACAAAATTGCATTCACTGGCTCTATCGAGGTGACGTGATGTTTTTAAAATTGTATTATCCTCAAAATTAGCATTGCTCTGCTAGGTTTTCTGATTGATAATTGAATTTTCTTTCAAACGTGCATTAGAAATGTGTCATTAGTTTAATTTGATGTTCACAAATAAATTGTGAGTAATGGTGGTTAGGAAACAAATATGAGGGATATGGAATTTCTGAGAAATAATTAGAGTTGGAAAACGTTGTATGAACATTTATAATTAAAACTACACACTAATACGTGTTAGCGATATTAGCGTTTACCTCACACACACGCACGCGCACGCACGCACACAGACACACACACACACACACATGCACACACGCATTTATATATATATATATGTGTGTGTGTGTGTGTGTGTGTGTGCGTGCGTGCGTGCGTATGTATGTGTTTATTTATAGTGTCGTTCTTGTCATAGGTAGGAAAGCTAATTCAGCAGGCTTCTGGGAGGTCAAACTTGAAGCGAGTCACCTTAGAATTGGGAGGCAAAAGCCCCAACATCATCTTTGCTGATGCTGACAGTTAGTACATACACAGTAGTCTATCATTTTTATTAACGCAAATGCTTATAGATCATTGGTTTGCTGAAATAGCGTTTTAATATGAAAAGTGGATTATTGTTATGAATGTGTTTATAAACAAGTTTGCACGAGATCACCATACAAGTAATGAAAGTTTAATTTGACTGTTTAAAACGTTCAATTTAAGATAAGGGTGAAAAGGTGTCTGTATCTTGGCAGCATCTAGTTTTATGCCCAGTATTTGAGAAAATATTAAACTGGCGGAAACATTTCGCCATCGCTTAAGCCAACTGTGTTCGAAACCACGCTGAGACTGCCACGGCCGAGTGGTCAATACATCGCATGTCTGACGGAGCGTCCTCTTTGCAGTGAGCAACGCCGTCGAGTGGGCGCACTCGGGCATCTTTGTCAACATGGGGCAGAACTGCTGCGCGGGAAGTCGCGTCTTTGTGCAGGAGGGCGCGTACGATGAGTTTGTGCGGCGCAGCAAGGAGAAGGCTGAGGCAAGAGTCGTCGGCGATCCGTGGAATCCAGCGAGCGACAATGGGCCGCAGGTTAGCACGTGTGTGGGCTCATGGCATAGACCAATCAAAACCGCGTGCCTGGCTTTGTCGGAGAGCAACTCGCGCAGACAACTGAGGCAGCAGCTACGCGATCGCCCCACACACATTCTCATCGCACTCATTCATGTTACTAGCACGTGTGCGCGTGTGCGACAGGTGGTAGACATGCCACGAGCTGAACGAAATAATTTCATTGGATTTCATTGAAAACTATGAATTCATATTTATCTTGTGTTAAATCCAAGAAATTAACTTACTATCGAAATTTTCGATCTCCCTTTGGTATATCTTCATTAGGATGTGACGTCACCATAGGTGGCAGCAGGTGACGTCTATCTTGCTGCCACCTATATGGTGACGTCACATCCTGATGAAGATTTCCCAAAGGGAGATCGAAAATTTCGATAGTAAGTTAATTTCTTGGATTTAACACAAGATTTTCTGAAGGGATATCGAATATTTCAATAGTAAGTCAATTTCTTGGATTTAACACAAGATAAATATGAATTCATAGTTTTCAATGAAATCCAATGAAATTATTTCGTTCAGCTTGTGGTATGTCGACCACCTGTTGCACGCACACGCGCGCGCTAGTAACATGAATGAGTGCGATGAGAATGTGTGCGGGGCGATCGAGTAGCAGCTGCCTCAGTTGTCTGCGCGAGTTACTCTCCGACAAAGACAGGCACGCGCGGTTTTAATTGGTCTATGCGGGTAATTCGTGGACGTGTGATACATGTACATCAGGGGTTAATAATGACAAATTAACCCTTGATCTATATGAATATATATTTATATATTCACCTCCTATGCACGCACGCACGCACGCACGCACGCACGCACGCACGCAGGCACGCACTCACGCACGCACGCACACACACATGTCTAGGAGGTGAATATGTGTTAGCTTATGTATATCCACTAGAGGTGGTATATACGTGGTTGTAGTTGCAGCAGCAGCAGCTGTACCAACAGCTTTATAATGCCAAATCTAATTGCTTAGTAATCATCATAATATACTACAGCCTTTACTCTAATGGTGCAGGTTTACTAATTATGTATTGTCCTGTATAGTGTCTGTATATGCAGTATAATTTTGTAGAACCCTGTAAGAACATTTGAATGGCTTTCTACAGATCAATAGTGAATGTGTGTATGACGAAGAATGTGTGTAATGACATGTGGATCATGTGGTAAGTAGGATCTCTACCGCTTTTCAGATCAGTCGAGAGCAGTTTGATCGTGTCATGGGTTTCATTGACAGTGGAAAGAAAGAGGGAGCCACATTAGTTTGTGGAGGCAAACGTGTAGGAAACAAAGGGTACTTCATCAGTTCAACAATTTTTGGAGATGTAAAGGACGATATGAAAATAGCACGTGAAGAGGTAAGGGTGAACGGTGCATCCATTTCGGTCAGTGCTTCTCAGTGGATTTACGATGTATTTTTATGCATGTAAATATTAATGGTTGTGTTTGGTTAGAGTAATTAAGCAGTTGCTAATGGATGGGTTTGCCTCTCGTTAACAGTGACACTGATGATCTTCATGTGATATTCATTCTGTGCTGTCTATCTATTTGTTGATCTACCTGTACCTATTAATTATAGTCTATTATTTATTATTTACTACTCTAAACTAACACCATTCTTATAATATATTTTTTATGTAAAAAAAATTATTTTTAAATTTTATATTCTTATATTGAAATAATATTCATCTACATTTGAAGATCTTCGGACCTGTGATGCAAGTGTTGAAGTTCAAGGATGCGGAGGAGGTTCTGGAACGAGCGAACCGCACCGCTTACGGACTTGCCGGCGCTGTCTTTACGAAGGACGTTAACAAGGCTTTCATGATCGCCAACGGTCTCGAGGCTGGATCCGTGTGGTACGAACACGTGCACGGTTAAACCCAGGGGCGTAGCTACGGGGGGGCACAGAAAATTTGTGGGGGCACCCCCACAAATTTTCTGTGGCCCCCCCAGGTGGCCCCCCCACTGAAAATTCATGGCTGAATAAAAAAAAAATTGAATTAAAAAACAATGCCGTTAGAGAGCAGTATAAATAAAAGAAAAGTTATATATTGTGCCCCCCCCACGAAAATGTAAGGCCCCCCCCAGTGCCCCCCCCCCCCCCGCTGAAAAAATCCTAGCTACGCCACTGGTTAAACCCACGCAAGACACCACCTTAAATTACTGCTTAATTTATTAATTAATTAAATGTTTAAGTGCTTAATGGTTCGTGAAGGCCATGTTTGGCATTTCTCTTGAGTGGCAGTTTTACAGTGAAACTCCCTCTATAGAAGGGACACCTGTGTATAAAGGCCATAAGTTTTTGCCATTTTTCTTGTGTGGCCATTACATACAGGTGCGACTGTTTTCCTGGTTTAAACAATACCTGATACTTCCTATCCTACCAATGGCGCAACGTGAATTTGTTTAATTACTGCTTACGTCGCTGCCATGTACGTGGCGTGATGTAGTATTGGATCAAGATGCATTTGGGTGTAAGCAGCACCTTTGGCACCTGGCAATAGTACGACGAAGGTTGCAATATGTTCAGTGTGTAATGAAACCTGTAGCAAGGCTTATCACTGTTTGATGTTCTGTGAAGGAAATACTGCTGGTTTGCTTCTACAATTTATATTCGGTGACTTCGTCAGTTTGGTTGCACAGTAGGATTTTTAGTTGCCCGAATAATATAGAACTGTGCTGTTTGACAATGTAGTATTGACTCTTTAACCTGTATACACTGAGTGCCATATGAAATTATACATGCAGGGTGAATTGCTACGATGTGGTCACTTCCCAAGTTCCGTTCGGAGGCTTCAAAATGTCTGGCCACGGCAGAGAACTGTAAGTGCGCTGTGCTGTGTTATGAGCAGTTAATTACTGTTACACAAATTACCTCTACTACTACTAGTCTATACTATACTACTACTCAACTATACTATGACACGAATTGCCTCACGAGCGTCTGAATCTGGAACGAACAGAGCGTTCTAGGTTACGAGTAATCATCGCTTGTCTGGTATTTCAGGGGCGAGTATGGCTTGCAGGAATACACAGAGGTGAAAGCTGTAAGTATGGCAGCTACAAGTGCTATTGTGCACGTTTTCTGCAAGTGCGAACCTATTAATAATGTCCAATTTTATTTAACAGTGTTTATGTATAGCCTAGTGAATTTAGAAAGAGTGTGCAGAACCAGTTATATAGCTTGTTATTGTGGTTATATATTTAATAGCGATTTATTAATATTTCATGATGAATTCACAGGTGACTATCAAGCTTGATGCTAAGAACTCGTAATTGAGTTATTCTGCATGATGGCTGCTGATGCTGCTGCTGCATACACCTCGATCGAAAATTGATGATAATTAAAATCTACTGAAAACATTGTTGGTATTGTTACCATGAAGTTGCTCAATCTGATTGTGAATGATATATTTACGAAATGACTGCAAAATCTGTGATTGCTAACCTAAGCAATAATGTAAACTTTGTTCAAACATATTAAGACCTTGGGCGTGATTAGGAAATATTGCGTTTGTTTTCCCCATAGCAGTTTCAGCTTGAATTTTAAAATTGTCTACTAAAATTCGTACACACTGAGACATTAATTGAGAGGCGTGCAGATACATAAACATGTTAAAATCGTGTGGATTCTATGGAGATTCTATGGAATAATATCATTTAAGGATCAGACCATGGTATGCACTTATACAGATGGTCAACAGACATGGACTTGCACAAGGCACATGGATAAGAGTAGTTCATGTTAACAATGATAACGCCTAGAATAGATGAAGATGGTCTAGAAATAGTTAACAGATTAGTGATGATCATGGACAGTCTATAGTAAGAATTTTTTTTAATATTCCGGAGCTTGGCTGCAGCTCGACCTCAATGTGCGCGTGTGAGTTTATTTACTACAACTGCGGTACAAGCATTTAGGGAAAGTAGAGTTAGAAGTTTCATTACAGATTTTCTGTAATTTTCAAGACTGTAATTTTTGTCCAAGCCTTGTAAAAATGTGGCATTCTCACTTCATAGTGGGAATGCCACGAGTCACAGGGTTTAAATTAATACGTGCTGGTAACGATAACGGCTGACATAGAGGATACTCTCGATAGAGTTAATAGATTATCTAGGCACAGTGTCTTGTACAACGAAAAATAATTGACAATAAGCAATGGAACCTGGGTATAAGCACCGGGAATACGGACTCTATTGGACCCCATCAGTAGCACCTGGAATCGATGTAGATACTTTAAATATTGTTACTCCAGTATTATCCAGTAAAATCCAGAAGAAAAACAAGAAGATCCAACGTGGTGGTGTAGGCATAATGCGGTGTGACTGTCGAGTTTTTTTGTCGTGTCTACTGGGTGTGTGTGGGGGGGGGATACTAGGCGTGATACTAGTTTGTGAGATGATTTGCTCGTCCCACGTCTGTTCTGGAGTTTTCTCGTCACGGTGCGTGTTCTACGTTACATTCTCCGAGCTGCTTAATAACCTACAGCTTTCTTAGGAAATCCTGTGAAATCTGTATTCTGAATTGTGATTGTGGTATGTTTGTACGACACTGACTGACACAGTGTTACCAGATATTGTTAACATCTTATGGCTAGTCTCTTGACTCTATACGTATATAGTTATCTAATATAAGTGAAATTTGATACACTGAATTTATGTAATCATTATTTTAATATGCATTTTAAATTATCTATGCACGCACATTCGTCAAACAACTCTTCACTACATAAAAGGCCTTTCAGGGGATCAGACTGCATACACGACTTTCAACATTTTTAGCATGTGTACCCTTGGCCGGCAAACCTCCGTGTTAAGTTAAGTTAAATGATGTAAAAATAAATTAACAAAATAAAATAACTAAATTAATTCAAGTGATTCACTTACATGATCAAACATCAGGACAACCATCAATCATATTCATATTCATAATAGCGAGACCCGTTGTGCACTGGTGATATCAGGAGTAAAAAGAATCCATTTCCTGATATTATTCCATATAGGAAATAATTCCTTACTCGGGAAAGTGGTCCCGGAAATAATTAATATGATAACTGCCTTTTGTGCTCCCACGTAAAGGTTGTTTACGATTACAAATTCACCAGAACGATGACAGGAATTGGGTCGCCGCTATATTGCAGGATCTACCAACGAGAATGAGAGGCGACCGGTCTTATCACGTGTTGACGTTTCGATTCAATTAGTGTTTCATGACATACGCGTAAGTCATTGTATATAATACGCTCAATGGGATTGAGTGTTCCGCACACGCAGCCGCAGAAATGCGGGAATTGTGAGGGTGTACTGATTACCGTCTCAGTTTGACAATGGAATTCCCACACATATGCAAAATGTAACTTATCACCAAAACTCGCGGTGCGTTGTAACCGGGAGCAGGGGTGTATCCAAGATTTTTTCTGGGTGGGTCGTGAAATCCAGTAAAATTTTTTTGGACCTTTTCACAACGCAATAGCAGCAAGATGTGTTTACAATGTCGATACAACAGGGGCGTGTACAGGATTTGTACCAGGGGGGGGGTCTAACCGTAACCAAACTTGGTAAGCACGCGAAGGGGGGGGGGGTCTGGGGGGCCGCCCCCCAGAAAAATTTTGAATTAGACCTCCTTAGATGCGTTTTCTGCGCGAGCAGGGGGGTCCGGACCCCTGGACCCCCTGTACACGCCCCTGACATTGAATTAAAACCCAAACAATTTGTTTCAAAAAAAATTTATCAGTTTAAAAAAACAAGTTTTGATTCTAGTTGAAAACAAAGTTTTTTTGAACTTTTGTCTTTATCTTGTCTTGTCTTTGTCTTTGTCAGTCTTTGTCTCTTTTTATGAAAACAAAATTTTGTTTAAAAAAAAGGCTCAGTTTCAGAATTGCTGGAATTGGATAGATTTACGTCAGCCAATTGGCAATGTCTTTGAACCATTGCTGTACGCTGATCTTATATTTATGTCATTGTAAAAGGCCCTCGAAAAAAATAGTCTTTGGAAAAAATGTGGACCTTTTAAAATTTTGGGGGGTCGTACGACCCTCACGACCCCCCTGCATACACCATGGGGAGGACAATATTATAGACTGTAGCCATTGTGACTGCAAGGCGCAGTTTACAGGTAACACGTTTATCATAACTAATGTAGGCATAGCGATGTGACATATATCATGGGTATAATGTCAGAAGGAAATGGCCGTACTGCGCAGCATGGGGAAAGGTTTGTTGAGGTTGAAGAGAGATTAGTCATGCCGTCAGCCATATATAGAACCGTAAAAGGTCCTACTGTTGTAGCATTCGTTCATGAACGTAAACAAGTTTCTCTGGATCGCATATTGGTGAGAAATATGATTTACGGAACAGAAGTTATTGTACGCTGCGTATTGTGTGTATTTTGCCGCTCCTTATTTTTCTGGCGATATAGAACAACGCTGCGTGTGATATATAAACAATAAATATAATAATAATAATAAATAATAAATAAATAAAAATAATATAAACAACAATATGTGAATAGTTAACTAACACTAAGCGTCTAGACGCGTTTTTGAGTTGGGATGTTTCCATGTACATGGCACGCTACTGTCATGTACTTGTAGGATTATTTTACATGTACATGTACATACATGTACATACATACATGTACGTACATACATGTACATATATATACAATCATAACATATATATAGGCCATTGTTCACGTTATCATCTATATAGGTTTTCACATTTCATACGTTTACAAATTACTTGCACTAGTTACACGGGTTGGCGATCTATAACAAGCGGGACAGCCTACAACAACACATGCGA